TGGTTGCTGCAGCTAAATGGATTTCGAATACCTGGCATCCTGGCCTAGAAGTGAATTGGTCCATAGTTCCCGATGTTACCTGACAACAATGGAAATACTGGATACGTCAATAGTTGGCTAAACCTTTCGAGTATGAAAAGTAGTATGACTGACTTCACACCTGAGTAAGAGTGAATTATAAGATCAAAGCATAATACTTGAAGAAATAACCTATTCAGTAATCATAGCCTAAAGAAATCGTGCATCTCTAAAAGTGGACAGTCTTTGGTAAACTAAACATATCAAATGCAAACTCATAGTGGAAAAACTAAATCAAACAAACCAGGAGTAACCCTGCCAATGTGAAAGAAAATTCCCCAAATAGTATAGTTTTGCTTTAGCCACTGACATATGGGAAAATTTATGTTGTAAAGTATATGCTTATAAAGTTTCAACTCATATTTAGTGGGGGAAACAATTTATTATACCAAAAAAGCATAAATGTATGACAGATGGTAACGCTTTTTTTCTGTTCTTGGCACGGTCCTTTTTTGGCTGGATGACTTTTGCTACTTAAAACTATGAACATTGTCATTCACACCTATTTTCTGAAATTAAACAGACCAATTCTATGATGAAACCCCTTATAAATTTAGTTACGGTATAATATCTTCCCATTTTGTATCATAAATTATCTAGAGTACCACTTTCCCTAGAATAATGGAAAAGGCCAAAACTGGGCAAAAAGCATTCTGTAATAAAACCTTTATTTTAAACTCCTTAAATCTATTTTGGAAAACTTTCTATATTTAATTGTATTCTGGTAGGACTTTACCAAGGAAACTATAAAAGATTATACTAGAAATACACTCTTCCATTCTGAAATATTTATTTTTAGCTTTTAAAATGTTCAATCCCTTTAAATCATTTTCAAAATTATAAATTATGTATATGGATAGCTAGGCGATGGATCTAGTTGGTTTATCTTCTGAAAAATAGGAACAATTTTTCCTAAGTATAGGTGATATAAGACTAGTATGTTGTATTACTTAAATATGCAAACCGTTTGTTTAAAGTAAGAAATTTATTTACTAGATAAAGGAGTGAAAGAATGTACTGTATATGCAGATGGAAAACAAGGTAAAGGGTGAGATCGAGATCTCACTTGATGCAGGGGTAGTGGGGAGGCAGGGGTTAGATCTTCCCGTCCCTCACAGTGGCCAGCATTGTGTATTGCCTCCTTGAAAGTAACAAAGCTGTTCTCTCAGGCAGTTTCAGAAAGGCTGGCTGGTGTTAGATTTATTAACAGGTGACTCTCCGATGAAAATGATAAAAAATGTTAGGGTCGTTACGGTAACCCTGGCTGATATAGCAAACCCCAGTACTTCAGCTGCTTCAAGAAAACCATTTAATTCTCACCTACACAATAGTCCCAAGAAAATGCTTTTGGTGGGAGAAGCAGGATGATCCTCAGGGGAAGGGGAGACCTCTGTGTCGCAGAAACCATTCAGAGATTCAAGGTTTTCAAAGCCACCCCAATATCAAGAAAAAAGGGTATGAACAATGCTGGGAGACATTTTTCAAGGCCAGGCTTGGCTAGAACTGAGTCACATGTTCATATCTAAGAATAAGAAAGGCCAAAAAAATGTCTGACTCCCATATTAGGAGAAAAGAAAATGTTTGATGAACAACTGGATAGTTTTTGTCACAATAAATATTGCAAACATCTTATTGCTGCCAATATTGTGGTTGGACAGCTATCACTTGTAAAAAAAATGGCGAGTGACACTATCTCTGCAATTTTTAAATAACACTTAATTTTAGTTTTTTTTCTGCTTATTCCATTTTTTCCCTTTCTTATCTGCAACCTATTTTATTAATCATCTGCTAGTGATTCGTCAAAACTGATTGCAGGTAATGGTTTATTTTGAAGTGTGCATTCACATTCAAGAAGAAAGAGTATTAGTAATGTAGCGTGACATGCACAAACAGCTAGTTAAATTTTTTGTAAAATATCCTGGAATACCAACACACTTTTTACTACCTTTTAATAAAAAGGCAGGACTTTTTTTCCCCCAGTTTAAAACTATGAGAAGAACTTGATCAAAATTTAGAATGATCTAATTAATGATTCGGTAGATTTTTTTTTTTTTTTTTTTTTTTGGTCCGGAAGAGACTCAACTTTATTTTCTAGCCAGAATACAAAGAAAATTTTCATCTTACAAATGCTAAAACAATTTTGGTGAAGAACAAAATTTTGGAGAAAATGCTATGAAAAGTAATCAATAGCAGCCTAGGTGTTGTTATAGAGACTCTCAGGAAAATCCTTTTCTGGCAGATCTCTCTCCGGCATCACCATGCATCAGTTATTTTATTCTCATGACAAAAGACGGCTTCCAGATATAAATTATCTAGCTTATGGTTAGGCTGCCATAGGATCTATCTATTCCCTCCCAAGAAGATGAACTGCATTTATTCCAGCAAGAAATAAAAACTTGTAATTTTCGGTGAAGTTTCTGTGAAAGATTGTTTCTAGAAATTGTTTTCCTTTAATGGTCCCTTGGTATCCACAGGGAATTGGTTCCAGGACCCCTCACATTCTCCGATAGAAAAATGTCTGATATTCAAGTCCCTTAATGATGTGTCTGGAGTCGGCATGAAGCCGCGGACCTTTGCGGTGTTACAGCTCTTAAAGATGGCAGGGACCTTGGCGGGGCACAGTGGCTCACGCCTGTAATCCCAGCACTTTGGGAAGCTGAAGCGGGCGGATCACCAGGTGAAGAGATCCAGCCCATCCTGGCTAACATAGTGAAATTTCATCTCTACTAAAAATACAAAAATTAGACTAGTGTGGTGGCTGGCGCCTGTAGTCCCAGCTACTCCAGAGGCTGAAGAAGGACACTGGCCTGAACCCAGTCTGCCTCTGCTGGGAGGCAGAGCTTGCAGTGAGATGAGATCCACCACTGCATTCTAGCCTGGGTGACAGAGTGAGACTCCATCTCAAAAAAAGAAAAAGAAAAAGAAAATGATGGCAGGGACCCAAGGAGTGAGTGGTAGCAAGGTTTGTTTGAAGGTTTGAAGAGGAAAGAACAAAGCTTCCACAGCATTGAAGGGGACCCAGCACGTTGCTACTATTGGTTGGTGGTGGACAGCTTTTATTCCCTTATTGTCCCCGCCCATGTTCCATTTTTGTCCTATCAGAGTGCCCTTTTTTCAAGCCTCCCTGTGATTGGCTACTTTTAGGATCCTGCTGATTGGTGCGTTTTACAGAGGGCTGATTGGTGTGTTTTACAGAGCGCTGATTGGTGCATTTTACAATCGCCTTACTAGCTACAGAGAGCTGATTGGTGCATTTTACAATCCTAGCTACAGAGCGCTGACTGGTGCATTTTACAATCCTCTTGTAAGACAGAAAAGTTCTCCAAGTCCCCACTGGACCCAGGAAGTCCAGCTGGCTTCACCTCTCAATAAAATGGCCTGGTATTTGCATATAACCTATGCACATCCTCTCCTACACTTTAAATCATATCTAGATTATTTATAATATCTAATAATATGTAAATGCTATACAATAGTTGTTATGCTGTATTTTTCTTTATTTGTATATTTATTTTATGTTTTAATATTTTGGATCCAAAGTTGGTTAAATCCAGGGATGAAGAACTGTGATGATGGGAGGGCTGACTGTATCTGTATTAAAGAATTAGGGTGTAAACATAAACTTCCTTTCATGGTCCAAATTGTGAACAAAAGTTGAAGTGTCATCATTAAAACTGCCCCCCAAATGAAAAAGGATGCTAGTGGCTGGATATCACTATCCCCCTTCCCTCAATTTAGTCCTCAAAGTTATTAAAAGGGTTAGCAATTAAAAGGTTTAGAACATCCCCCTGTGGAAGGTTACCCATTCATCAGGTTGTGCCCAGTGAAATTATGTTTCTGGCTTGCATCACCTGACTCATCTGGGCCATTGGGATAACTGAAGCATCTTACCTCTAGGCAAAGTGCAGGGTCTTAATGGCTACTTAAGCCCTGGTCAGTTCTGAATTTTATAAGACTAAGGAGACAGCAAGGCACCTTTGGTTGCGCTCTGCCCCAGGGTGTACTCAAATTTGTCTCACTTCAATAAAAAACAAAAGTAAATCTAGCTCCAGAAGGGGGTATCCCTCATTTTGGCAGGCCTAAAACAGTAGTAGACAGCAGTGTAGCAGTTATGCACACCAGATCTGTGACTCAGATAATCCTAGGATCTAATCTTGGCACCATCAATCAAACACTGTGGGAATTGGGATAAGGTGGTTGTGAGAATTAAATGAAATAATCTTGTATATAGCAATAACCAGTGCTCAAGAAACAATGGTTTTTATTACTATTATTATTTTGGGAAATTTGTCCAACCAGGATATTTTAGATATTGATGAGTGCAGGGTGGGAAAAAAGGGGGAAAAAAAGAAATAGTCTACTTACCAATCAATAAAAGGCAGTTTAAAGGGCTGGAGCTGTTTGGGCAGAGAGGTACATTAATCCCACCTACAATTAGATAAGGGGTCTCGTGGAAAGGTGATTGGACTTGTTTACCAAGGCCCCAGAGGCGGAGGCAGAACTAAGACCAGAGCAGAGGGTAGGGGTTAAGGAGAGACAAACTTGGCCTCATATAAGGAAGCATTTGGGGCAGATTAGAGCGGTTGGAAAAAAAAAAAAACGGCATGGGCTGCCTCCTGAAGGGGTCAGTGTTCCAATCTTGGTTACTCAGGATCGGAAGAAATCTTGGTGGAGGAGTCCTGGATGGGATTCCAGAGATTTTGAGTTTCTAGACAACGCCTCAGACCGTAGAAGAACTTAGCCCGACCTGCCGAGGCCAGCCTCGTCCTGCCCTTCTCCACTTGTGCAGCTTTCTTGCTGAAAAGTCCTAAAATTGGACCGGGGGACTGCGAAGCCCGCCCTCAAGCAGCCGCGCGCTCTGAAACTCCGTTGCTGTGGAGACGGAAGCGGTTGACCCAAGCACTCTGAACCGGGTTGGGGGAGGGGAGCCGACGTAGTTCAGGAACTGGGCGTAGCTTCGGTTACTGTGGTAGCGGGGACGCTTAGGCAGGGCCTGAGCCCAGTTTAGAGGCCAATGCTCCTCCCGTCCTTTGCATGGCACCCAAGAAAGAGAAAGGCGGGACTGTGAACACCAGTTCTAAGATATGGGAACCCTCGCTCATAGCTGCACAGTTCAATCAGGTGAGCCTTGAGCCCTTTAAGCCCTCCCTGCCCCCGGCAAAGCCAGAGGCCCGGCCAGACCCTCCTAGATGACGCCTTCGGGCTCGCCCTCTCATCCGTATCTCTCCATGGCCTGATGGTTCCAGGACCCAGGGTCCCAGGGACAGGGAGTGCTTGATAAACGAGCGGAACTTAAGGGAAGAAGGAAGGGAACACCCACCAGGTGAGTCAGTGTGATTACAAAGGTTGGTGAGAGCTGCGTGGTGGGGAAGAGACGAGGTGTCGCTCTGACACCTTCAGACCCTTTTCAGTGAAGTCGTCCAGATGGCACTCCACAATTGTACTGGAGTTCCTTTTGTGGACTTTTCGTTTTCTCCTGACCCCTTCTAAAGGATGAGAATCGTATCAAATCATCTGTGGCCTGACCCATAATAGGGCTTTAATAAATGCTGAGTGAAAACAGACACGGAGTGCCTAGAATTACACTGTATTTAGTACAAGGGAGCCTTGTATAGATATAAAAGATGATTTTTTTAATGTAATGCCCCGATCCCACTATATTAAAGTTTTGACATATTTTGAAGGTGTAAGAGATCAGAGCAATGAGGGGTTGGCGGCCAGCTTACCCACAGGATGCCACAAAGGCACCAGGCAATTTACAAACCACCTGCCCCGGGACTTCAAAGTGCATGAGATCCCCGAACTCACTGGATCCCCACCCAGCTTCAGTGAATGAGGAGCCCAATAGCTCTTGTCACCTGGGGCTGGAAATCCCCTTCTACATTAAGCCGTTTCTAAGTACAAGTTAGCGTTTGAGAAGAGAAAGGTGGTTTCTGGAAATTCCAGCCCGCCATTGTGAACTACTTTAAAAAGTAGGGAAAAATTTTTTTTTCATTTTATGTATGTCTATGTGGTGCACTAGAGAGTTAGTACTTAAAGGGAAAATTGATCTAAAGTCTTGTGTTGCCCTCATGAGAAATTTTTACCTATTTGTCTTTATTTTTCCACTATAACTGTTTATTTTCCTATTAACAGTAATTCTGTTTGATAAGGAAATTAGTCCTGATGAAGAATTTCATGCAAGTACTTATGATACTCCTGATGCTGATGTGATGTCATGGAATTCTGGGTCCTTTCTATAACTTTAGTAATGCCGGATGTCAACTCAGTAATCCCCAGTTACTTTCTCAAATTCTCAAAAATGTTTTTCAAAGCACTTTGTAAAAGCACCTTCTCTTTTGCTTTTATAAGTCAGCGCTAGCCAAAATAATTTTTTCTCCATTTTCTTTGAGATTGTGTAGGCCAAGTTTGGTCTTGGAGTGAACATTTCTGCTTGAATTATAAACTGCTGAACAACGGAGTTTGATGGAGGTGCTGACACTGCATTAGCTTTAGTGTTGCAAATATGAAGCTATAATTTTCCTAGTTGAATGGAAAACCTAAAGGCACTATTTGTCCTTATGGCTTGAAAACCTGAAATAATATTCAGCTTTCTTGATCCTACTCAAACAATATAACTTCAATAAATCTTATGTATTAATAGAAAGAATTTGAACTCAAAGTAATATGTAGTTTTAACTATAAAGAGTGAACTCAATTTTCTTCGGTTTGTTGGAATACACATTTTCTTATTGCAGGAAAAAGACAACTACCCTCCACCTCCTCTCACATTTTTCTCTGCTTGATTTCATGTCTGATCTAAATGAATAATTCCCAGATTAACCCAGCAGTTCAATGCCCAGAGGCATGCCCTAACCACCAATGAAACGGACTCTGAATTTAGATTATAGATGACTGAGGGTGTGTGAATTTTGAGCATGCGTAGTGTGCTCTATTATTTTAGTATCCAGAGAGTTTCTTTCTGTACACTTGTTACTCATGTCCAAGTATGTGTGATTGAGTGTGTGTGCTAGTGTGTGTGTTGTATTATGTGTGTGTGTTGGGGGTGAGAGAGAAGGAAGGAATTCCTCCAGTCTTCCATAAACCAGTTTTTAGAATGAACTCGTTGGATAATCCAAATCAATAGTATTTTTGAACTCATGTTCATGTTGGGTAGGCTTTAAAGAGAATAAACAAGTTCACAATTTGGTTTTATTGAATTTACCTTGTATCACTGTCTCAGGTTGTCCTTTCAGGCTGGAATAATTATCAACTGTTTTATACATTTTAGTTGGTTTTAAAATATAAAATGATAGCAAATAATACAAAGCATTCTATCACTAAGCACTAAATGATTAAATAGAGGCTAGAGGTTAGGAAGATGAATATGGGCTGGGATAGTCAGGATATGATTTGTAAAATATTTGCCTTCACCTGGGCTCTAAATAATGGGTGGAATTTGAACAGGTAGAATGAAGGAGCATGATTATTTTATGTAGGGAGACTAATATGTGCACAAAGTAAATCTGACACATTTAGTTTGGGAGAAAAATGTACGTTAGACCACTTCTGGGTATACATTGCTCCTAAATTAATTCCATCAAGGAAATGGTCATTCACTATCTTTGCTATCCATATACCAAAATATTTAACTTATTGATATGAGTGAAATATCACATCTCAAATTATATAAAAAGAAAATAGGTACATTGGCAATACGATTATAAAAATACCCTTTTGTGTTAGTATGTATGTGACACAGACATTGTATTTATTATCCGTAGCAGCATTAAAGAGTCAAAGATGCCTTAGTATCATAGAGATTAAAATCTTTCCATGCAATGGTCAAAGCAAGCTCTGTTGGCCACAGTGAGAGGAAGAAGTGTTAACTTTAGCAGTCAGTACTATTTAAACAGTACTAATTCCCCATCCTTCCCTCTCCTCACCCCCTGGAAGCTGTCATTGTACTTTCTGTCTCTCCAAATTTGACTACTTTAGGTACTTCATGTAAGTGGAATCATATAGTATTTGTCTTTTTGTGACTCTTATTTTACTTAACATAATGTCCTCACGGAGTTCATTCATATTGTAGCATGTATCAGAGTTTCCTTACTTTTTACATTTTATTTATTCATTCATTCATTGATGGACTCTTGGGTTGCTTTCACCTCTTGGCTGTGGGGTCTGTGTGGCCCAGGCTGGTCTCAAACTCCTGGACTCAAGCAGTCCTCTCACCTCGGACTCTCAAAGTGCTGGGATTACAGGATTAAGCCACTGTGCCCAGATTTAATTTTTTGAGGAACTACCATATTTTGCATAGTGGCTACATCATTTTGCATTCCCACCAACAATGTACAAGCGTTTCCGTTTCACTACATCTTTGCCAGCACTTTTTATTTTTTGTTTTATTTATTTATTTATTTTTGGTGAAGTTTGTTTTTGTTTGTTTATTGGTTTTATTTTTGATTTTTTAATAATAGCTGTCCTAACAGATATGAGGTGATATCTCACTGTGGTTTAGATGTTCATTTCTCTAATGATAAGTGATGTTGAGCATCTTCATTCTTTGTCTCTTGTAACAACTTTTGACTTAAAGTCTTTTTTGTGTTATAGTTGCTTAACCTCCCCTGCTCTCTCTTGGTTACTATTAATATTTGCATGGAATATCTTTGTCTGTTCCTTCACTTTCAACCTATGCATATCCTTAGAGCTAAAGTGAATCTCTGCAGATAGCATATACTTGGATTCTGAGTAGTTTTGTTTGTTGTTTTTTAATCCATTCTGCCAGTCTGTTTTATTATTGTAGGGTTTAATACATTTGCATTTAAAGTAATTACTGGTATGAAAAGACTTACTTTTGCCATTTTATTATTTGTTTTCTATATGCCTTACAGATTTTTTGTGTCCTTTGTTACCTCCATTAGTGCCTTTATTTGGTTGATTTTTTTTTTGTGACATGTTTAGAATGCCTTCTCATTTTCTTCTGTGTATCTTCTATAGATATTTTCTGTGTGGTTACCATGGGGATTACATATATCATAAAATTATAATAATCTGTCTTAAATTGATGCCAACTTACTATCAATTGCTTATATAAATTCACTTTACAGCTTCATCTTCTGCATGACTTATGATGTCACAGATTGTACCTTTATATACTATGTACCCATTAGCCTAGATTTATAATTAGTTTTATACATTTTTCTTTAACTCCTGTAGAAAATAAAGTGGATTTGCAAATCAAATTATAATAATACTTTTTAAAATAAATGTGTCCATGCATTTTTTTACCAAAGAAATTTATATTTTTATATAGCTTTCAGTTACTATGTAGCATCCTTCATTTCAACTTGAATAACTCCCGTTAAACTTTTTAAAATCAGTTTTATTTTTGTATTCATACGTAATAGAGGTACATATTTTAGAGGTACATGTGTTAATTTAATACAATCATATAGTTTGAAAAGATCAAATGACTATAAGTAGGATATTCATCACTTTAAATATTTGTCTTTTCTTTACACTAGAAACATTCCAATTATTCTCTTCTAGCTTTTTTGAAATATATGATAGATAATTGTAAATTATAGTCACTCTACTGATCTATTAAACACTAGGACTTATTTCTTCTATCAAGCTCTGTATTTGTATCCATTAAGCAAACTATGCCCCCTCTTCACTACTTTTCCCAGTCTCTGATAATTGTTATTCTGCTCTTTATCTTCATGAGATCTACTTTTTTATTTCCCACAAAAGAGTGAGAACATAAGATATTCATCTTTCCCTTATTTCACTTAGCATAATGAACTCCAGTTCCATCCTTGTTGCTACGAAGGACAAGATTTCATATTGTATGGCTGAATAGTATTTCACTGTGCATATGTACCGCATATATACAGTTTTCTTTATTGATTCATCTGTTGATGGGTGCTTAGATTGATTCTATACTTTGGCTATTGTGAATATTGCTGCAATAAACATGGAAGTGCAAATCTTTCTTTGATACATTGATATCCTTTATTTTGGCTATATACCAAGTAGCAGAACTGCTGGATTATATGATGGTTCTATCATTAGTTTTTTGAGGAATCCCCGTGCAGTTTTCTATAATGTCTATACTAATTTACATTCTCATCAGTGGT